GAGGTGATAACCTCATTATGCATTTGATTTGCATTTCTCTAATGATTAGTGATGTTAAGCAACCTTTCATGTGTTTGTTGGCAATCTGTATATCTTTTTTTGGAGAAATGTCTATTTATGTCTTCTGCCCATTTTTGGATTGTGTTGTTTGTTTTTTTGATACTGAGCTGCTTGTAAATTTTGGAGATTAATCGTTTGTCAGTTGCTTCATTTGCAAATATTTTCTCCTATTCTGAAGGTTCTCTTTTCATCTTTTTTATGGTTTCCTTTGCTGTGCAAATGCTTTTAAGTTTCATTAGGTCCCATTTGTTTATTTTTTTATTTCCATTTCTCTAGGAGGTGGGTCAAAAAGGATCTTGCTGTGATTTATGTCATAGAGTGTTCTGCCTATGTTTTTCTATGAAAGTTTTATGGTTTCTGGCCTTACATTTAGTTCTTTAATCCACTTTGAGTTCATTTTTGTGTATGGAGTTAGGGAGTGTTCTAATTTCATTCTTTTACATGTAGCTGTCCAATTCTCCCAGCACCAGCGTCTTATTGAAGATGCTGTCTTTTCTCCATTGTATATTCTTGCCTCCTTTATCAAAGATAAGGTGACCATATATGCGTGGGTTTATCTCTGGGCTTTCTATCCTGTTCCATTGATCTATATTTCTGTTTTTATGCCAGTACCATACTTTCTTGATTACTGTAGCTTTGTAGTATAGTCTGAAGACAGGGAGCCTAAGTCCTCCAGCTCTGTTTTCCTTTCTCAAGATTGCTTTGGCTATTCAAGGTCTTTTACGTTTACATACAAATTGTGAAAGTTTTTCTTCTAGTTCTGTGAAAAAATGCCATTGGTTGTTTGATAGGGATTGCATTGAATCTGTAGATTGCTTTGGGTAGTACAGTCATTTTCACAATGTTGATTCTTCCAATCCAAGAAGATGGTATATCTCTATATCTGTTTGTATCATCTTTAATTTCTTTCATCAGTGTCTTATAGTTTTCTGCATACAGGTCTTTTGTCTCCTTAGGTAGGTTTTCTCCTAGGTATTGTATTCTTTTTGTTGCACTGGTAAATGGGAGTGTTTCCTTTATTTGTCTTTCGGATTTTTCATCATAAGTGTATAGGAATGCAAGAGATTTCTGTGCATTAATTTTGTATCCTGCTACTTTACCAAATTCATTGATTAGCTCTAGTATTTTTCTGGTAGCATCTTTAGGATTCTCTATGTAGAGTATCATGTCATCTGCAAACAGTGACAGCTTTACTTCTTCTTTTCCAATTTGTATTCCTTTTGTTTCTTTTTCTTCTCTGATTGCTGTGGCTAAAACTTCCAAAACTATGTTGAATAATAGTGGTGAGAGTGAACAGCCTTTTCTTCTTCCTGATCTTAGTGGAAATGGTTTCACTTTTTCACCATTGAGAATGATGTTGGCTGTGGGTTTGTCATATATGACCTTTATTATGTTGAGGAAAGTTCCCTCTATGCCTGCTTTCTGGAGGGTTTTTATCTTAAATAGGTGTTAAATTTTGTTGATAGCTTTTTCTGCATCTATTGAGATGATCGTATGGTTTTTCTCTTTCATTTTTTTAATATGGTGTATCACATTGATTGATTTGCCTATATTGAACAATCCTTGCATTCCTGGGATAAACCCCGCTTGATCATGGTGTATGATCCTTTTAATGTGCTGTTGGATTCTGTTTGCTAGTATTTTGTTGAGGATTTTTGCATCTATGTTCATCAGTGATATTGGCCTGTAGTTTCTTTCTTTGTGACTTCTTTGTCTGGTTTTGGTATCAGGGTGATGGTGGCATCGTAGAATGAGTTTGGGAGTGTTCCTCCCTCTGCTATAATTTGAAAGAGTTTGAGAAGGATAGGTGTTACCTCTTCTCTAAATGTTTGATAGAATTCGCCTGTGAAGCCATCTGGTCTTGGGCTTTTGTTTGTTGGGAGATTTTTAATCACAGTCTCGATTTCAGTGCTTGTGATTGGTCTGTTTATATTTTCTATTTCTTCCTGGTTCAGTCTTGGAAGGTTGTGCTTTCCTAAGAACTTGTCCATTTCTTCCAGGTTGTCCATTTTATTGGCATATAGTTACTTGTAGTAATTTCTCATGATCCTTTGTATTTCTGCAGTGTCAGTTGTTCTCCTTTTTCATTTCTAACTCTATTGATTTGAGTCTTCTCCCTTTTTTTCTAGATGAGTCTGGCTAATGGTTTATCAATTTTGTTTATCTTCTTAAAGAACCAGCTTTTCGTTTTATTGTTCTTTGCTATTCTTCATTTCTTTTTCCTTTATTTCTTGTCTGATGTTTATGATTTCTTTCCTTCTGCTCAGTTTGGGTTTTTTTTTGTTTGTTTTTCTTTCTCTAATTGCTTTAGATGTAAGGTTAGGTTGTTTGTTTGAGATGTTTCTTGTTTCTTGAGGTAGGATTGTATTGCTATAAACTTCCCTCTTAAAAGTAACTGCTTTTGGGCTTCCCTTGTGGCGCAGTGGTTGAAAGTCCACCTGCCGATGCAGGGGACACGGGTTCGTGCCCCGATCTGGGAAGATCCCACATGCCGCGGAGCGGCTGGGCCCGTGAGCCATGGCCGCTGAGCCTGCGCGTCCGGAGCCTGTGCTCCGCAACGGGAGAGGCCACAACAGTGAGAGGCCCGCATACCACAAAAAAAAAAAAAAAAAGTAACTGCTTTTGCTGCATCGCATAGGTTTTGGGTCATCGTGTTTTCATTGTCATTTGTTTCTAGGTATTTTTTGATTTCCTCTTGGATTTGTTCAGTGATCTCTTGGTTATTATGTAATGTATTGTTTAGCCTCCACATGTTTTTATTTTTTACATATTTTTTCCTGTAATTGATATCTAGTCTCATAGCACTGTGGTCGGAAAACATGCTTGATACAATTTCAGTTTTCTTAAATTTGCCAAGGCTTGATTTGTGACCCAAGATATGATCTATCCTGGAGAATGTTCCATGAGCATTTGCGAAGACAATGTATTCTGTTGTTTTTGGATGTAATGTCCTATAAATATCAATTACATCCACCTTGTTTAATGTATCATTTAAAGCTTGTGTTTCCTTGTTTATTTTCATTTTGGATGATCTGTCCGTTGGTGAAAGTGGGGTGTTAAAGTTCCCTACTATGATTGTGTTACTGTCAATTTCCCCTTTTATGGCTGTTAGCATTTGCCTTATGTATTGAGGTGCTCCTATGTTGGGTGCATAAATATTTACAATTGTTCTATCTTCTTCTTGGATTGATCCCTTGATCATTATGTAGTGTCCTTCTTTGTCTATTGTAATAGTCTTTATTTTAAAGTCTATTTTGTCTGATATGAGAATTGCTACTCCAGCTTTCTTTTGATTTCCATTTGCATGGAATATCTTTTTCCATCCCCTCTCTTTCAGTCTGTATGCATCCCTAAGTGTGAAGTGGGTCTCTTGTAGACAGCATATATACGGGTCTTGTTTTTGTATCCATTCAGCCAGTCTGTTTCTTTTGGTTGGAGCATTTAATCCATTCACATTTAAGGTAATTATCGATATGTATGTTCCTATTACCATTTTCTTAATTCTTTTGGGTTTGTTATTGTAGGTCTTTTCCTTCTCTTGTGTTTCCTTCCCAGAGAAGTTCCTTTAGCATTTGTTGTAAAGCTTGTTTGGTGGTGCTGAATTCTTTTAGCTTTTGCTTCTCTGTAAAGGTTTTAATTTCTCCATCAAATCTGAATGAGATCCTTTCTGGGTAGAGTAATCTTGGTAGTAGGTTTTTCCCTTTCATGACTTTAAATATGTCTTGCCACTCCCTTCTGGCTTGCAGAGTTTCTGCTGAAAGTTCAGCTCTTTACCTTATGGTGATTCCCTTGTATGTTATTTGTTGTTTTTCGCTTGCTGCTTTTAATATTTTTTCTTTGTATTTAATTTTTGAGTTTGATTAATATGTGTCTTGCCATGTTTCTCCTTGAATTTGTCGTCTGTGGGACACTCTGTGCTTCCTGGACTTGATTGACTATTTCCTTTCCCATATTCAGGAAGTTTTCAACTATAATCTCTTCAAATATTTTCTCAGTCCCTTTCTTTTTCTCTTCTTCTTCTGGGACCCCTATAAATCGAATGTTGGTGCATTTAATGTTGTCCCAGAGGTCTCTAAGACTGTCCTCAACTCTTTTCATTCTTTTTTCTGCTCTGCAGTAGTTATTTCCACTATTTTATCTTCCAGGTCACTTCTCCATTCTTCTGCCTCAGTTATTCTGCTATTGATTCCTTCTAGAGAATTTGTAATTTCATTTATTGTGTTGTTCATCATTGTTTGTTTGCTCTTTAGTTCTTCTAGGCCCTTGTTAAATGTTTCTTGTATTTTCTCCATTCTATTTCCAAGATTTTGTATCACCTTTACTATCATTACTCTGAATTCTTTTTCAGGTAGACTACGTATTTCCTCCTCATTTTTTGGTCTGGTGGGTTTTTACCTTTCTTCTTCATCTGCTGTGTTTCTCTGTCTTCTCATTTAGCTTACCTTAATGTGTTTGGAGTCTCCTTTTCACAGCCTGCAGGTTCGTAGTTCCTGTTGTTTTTGGTGTCTGCCCCCAGTGGCTTAGGTTGGTTCAGTGAGTTGTGTCATCTTCCTGGTGGAGGGGCAAGACTAGTGCCTGTGTTCTGGTGGATGAGGCTGGATCTTGTCTTTCTGGTGGCCAGGACTGCATCTGGTGGTATGTTTTGGTATGTCTGTGAACTTTGTATGATTTTAGGCAGCCTCTCTGCTAATGGGTGGGGTTGTGTTCCTGTCTTGCTAGTTGTTTGGCATAGGGTGTCCAGCACTGTAGATTGCTGGTTGTTGAGTGGAGCTGCGTCTTAGCGTTGAGATGGAGATCTCTGGAAGAACTTTTGCCACTTGATATTACGTTGAGCTGGGAGGTCCCTGGTGGATCAGTGTCCTGAACTCAGCTCTCCCGCCTCAGAGGCACAGCCCTGACACCTGGCAGGAGCACCAAGACCCTGTCAGCCACACGGCACTATGGCCTCCACGGTCGAAACACCTGCATCCTGCTCTGTTTTCAGGTTGATGGGTCCTCGAAGGTCACACAGAGGACTCCAGAGACTTTTGGATCACTTGACATCAGGTGCTGCAGCCTGTCAGGGCCAAGGAGGCCTCCAGCTCCGCCTGTGACCTGCCCCGAGAGGTGTGGCTCCTGGAGACCCCACAGGCCGATGACTTCTCGTTTTTTTCTAATTTTGTTTACCTTTTAAAAAAATCAGCTCTTAGTTTCATTGATTTTTTTTTAAGTCTCTTTTTCACTTATTCCCACTCAGACCTTTATTACTTCCTCTTTCTACCTATTTTGGTGTTTGCTTGTTCTTCTTTTTCTAATTTTTTTAAATGTACGTTTAGATTTTTTTTTTCGGTATGTGGGCCTCTCACTGTTGTGTCCTCTCCCGTTGCGGAGCACAGGCTCTGGACGCGCAGGCTCAGCGGCCATGGCTCACGGGCCCAGCCACTCTGCGGCATGTGGGATCTTCCCGGACCAGGGGACGAACCCGTATCCCCTGCATTGGCAGGCAGACTCTCAACCACTGCGCCACCAGGGAAGCCCCTACATTTAGATTTTTATTTGAGATTTTTTTTTCTTTCTTGAGTTAGACCTGTATAGTCACTATAAACTTTTCTCTTAGAACTGCTTTTGCCATGTCCTATAGATTTTGGAAATCTGTGTTTTTATTTTTATTTGTCTTGAGGCATTTTCTCTTTGATTTCTTTTTTTTTTAATTTCTTTTTTGACCCATTGATTATTTAGTAGCATGTTATTTAGTCTCCATGTGTTTGTCTTTTCTCATTTTTCTTCCTGTAATTGATTCCTAGTTTCATATCATTGTGGTTGGAAAAAATACTTGATGTAATTTCTGTCCTTTTAAATTTGTTGATACTTGTTTTGTGGTGTGTATTCTGCTATTTTTCGATGGAATGTCCTGCAGATATCTATTAAGTCCAACTGGTGTAATGTGTCATTTAAGGCCAATGATTCCTTATTGATATTCTGTTGGGTTGGTCTGTCCATTGATGTAAGTGGGGTGTTAAAGTCCTCTACTACTATTGTATTATTGTTAATCTCTCCCTATACATCTGTTAATATTTACTTTATATATTTTGGTGCCCCTATATTAGGTGCATATATGTTAACAAATGTTATATCCTCTTCTTCTATTAATCCCTTTATCATTATATAATGCCTTTATTTGTCTTTTATTATACACTTTGGTTTTTTTAACTTTTATATTGGAGCATAGTCGATTAACAATGTTCTGTTAGTTTCAGGTGTACAGCAAAGTGATTCAGTTATACATGTATCTATTTTTTTCAAATTCTTTTCCCATTTAGGTTATTACAGAATATTTAGCAGAGTTCCCTGTGCTATACAGTGGGTCCTTGTTGGTTATCTATTTTAAATATAGTAAGTGTACCTGTCATTCCCAAACAGTACTTTGTTTTAAAGTCTATTTTGTCTGATATGAGTACTCCTACCCCAGCTTTCTTGTCACTTCCATTCGCATGAAATATCTTTTCCATACCCTCACTTTCAGTCTGTGTGTTTAGCGCTGAAGTGAGTCTCTTTTAAGAAGCAGGTAGAAAGACCTTTTTTGCTTATCCAATCAGCCATCCTATGTCTTTTGATTGGAGGATTTAGTCCAATTGACACTTAAAGTAATTATTGATAGTTGTATACTTATTGCCATTTTGCACTTGTTTTCCAGGTGTTTTTGTAGTTCTCTGTTCTGTTCTTCTCCTTTTAGTTTCTTCCCTTGTGGTTTGATGATTTGTTTCAATGGTATGTTTGTGTTCCTTTCTCTCTAGTTTTTGTATATCTGTTGTATATTTTTGATTTGTGATTACAATGGGGTTCATATATATTGACCTATAACTATGTCTACTTGTTTTAAACTGGTAATCATTTAAGTTCAAGCACATTCCAAAAGATCTACATTTTTTCTCCCCTCCCCCACGTTTTGTGTTTTATTATGTCATATCTTACATCTTCGTGTTTATCCCTTAACTGTTTATTGCAGTTATAGTTGATTTTATATTTTTTGTCTTTTAATCTTCATACCAGCTTATTTAAGTGGTTGATCCACAGCCTTTACTATATATTTGCCTTTACTAGTGGGGGTTTTCCTTTCCTATAGATTCTTACTTCTTGTTGCAGCCTTTACTTTGCCATTTAGAGAAGACCCTTTAACATTTCTTATAAGGTTGGTTTAGTATTGATGAACTCTTGGTTTTTGGTTCTCTGAGAAGTTCTTTATATTTCCTTCAATTCTTAATGATAACCTTGCTGGGTAGAGTGTCTTGAGTTGCAGGTTTTTCTCTTTCAGCACTTTAAATATATAATGCCCCTCCCTTCTAGCCTGCAAAGTTTCTACAGAAAAGTCAACTGATAGCCTCAGGGTTCCCTTGTAATATGACCCTTTGTCTTTCTCTTGCTGCCTTTTGTATTCTCTCTTTAACTTTTGCGATTTTAGTTATGATATGTCTTGGTGAGTGTCTGTTTGGGTTTGTAGTTTTTAAGGAACCTCCATACTGTTCTTTGTCACGTGGTTCCTAGATCATTCGCAATCTTTTTTGTCTCTGAACATAATCCCATTGGTATATAATCATTTGAAGTAGATATCACAGAACTGGATACAGTATTTCAGTTCCAACTTGATTCATACGAAGTACAACAGAATCTCTCTTGGTTCGTAATATGTTTCCATTATTCCTGCCTACGGTAGAACTGGTATTTTCAGTGCCCATGACACTGCCGACTCACATGGAGTTTACTGAAATTCCCATCTCTTTCACCCTTTTGCCCTTAATCTATTTTTATACAAGTGGATAAAACCTGTATACAGGTATCCTGTCTGTGTTTTGCTGTCCTCCCTCTCCAAGCAGGCCTCAGATTGTGGATATAGGGAATAGGAGCACAGTGATAGAGTTTATCCTCATGGGCTTCGAGCAGAGCTCCCCTTCCACACGGGCATTGCTCTTTGTCCTCTTCCTAGCCCTCTGCCATGCCCATGAATGGCCTCATCATCTTCATCACCTGGACAGATCCCAGGCTCAACAGCCCCACGCCGTTCTTTGGCCACCTATCCTTCCTGAATATCTACTTCGTTCCTACCACCATTCCACCTGGTGGAATGCTGATGCGGATCCACCTGGTGGTCAAGAACTGTGTTGTCTCCTTTGCCTCGTGCTTGACCCACATGTATCTGGTTTTTGGTGTGGGTGTGGCTGAGTGCATCCTCTTGGCTTTCATGGTCTATGACCATTATGTTGCTATCTGCCACCCACTTAGCTGTGCCCAGATCATGAGCCAGCAGGTCCGTGTGACGCTGGTGAGTACTGCCTGGTTCTTTGGGCTGATCAATGGCATCTTTCTTGAGTATATGTTATTCCAGAATCCCTTCTGCAGAGATAACCACATAGAAAACTTCTTCTGCGAGGCCCCCATAGTGATTGCTGTCTCTATGGAGACCCCCAGTTTAGTCTGAGAGTCATCTTTGCCGATGCCATTGTGGTGCTGCTCAGCCCCATGGTGCTCACTGTCATCTCTTATGCCCGCATCCTGGCCTCCATTCTGGGCAGAGCCTCCTCCTCTGGTCTGGGGAAGACCTTCTCTACTTGTGCCTCCCATCTGACTGTGGTCATCTTTTTCTACACCTCAGCCATGTTCTCTTACATGAACCACACAGCACACATGGTCCTGACAAAGACAAGCCTTTCTCTCTCCTCTACACCATTATCACCCCCATGTGCAACCCCATCACCTACAGTTTTTGAAATAAAGAAATGAAAGGGGCCATGGTGAGGGCCTTTGGGAGGAGCAGCTTTTCCCAGGCAGAGTCTGTCTAGTGGGAAGACTCCTGGAGGGGAAGATCCCTCCTCCAACCCTCACTATTGGGTAACTCTCCAGTGCTGAAAGGCTCCAGGAAAGAGCATTCATAGCTTCCTTTGCAATAGCATCAGACCTGGAAGATCCTATTGATGTCTAATGCTCATCTGTCTGATGTAACTTTAAGCACTGTTTTCTCTTGGACCCTCCTCAGGAGAATTTGAGACTTTCCTGAGTGATTTTCTTCTAAGTTATCACAACAGGATCTATAAGCACACTTAAGTCCATTTCATTTTCTTTCTGTACATGCTCTTCTTAGCCTGAGTTCTGCATATACATTTAGGTAAACTTTTTTCTCTTTCAACTTATCATTTTAATCTGTTTTTCTTTCTCACACTCCACTCTCACTTCCTGAATCTGCCCTCATCCACCCTGCTCCTATATGAGAAACAGTAGAGGACGAAGTAAGAAAAAGGGAATTAGGGAGCAGTGTTGACATTAAGAAAAGTCAGTTAGAGAAAAGAAGAAAAAGAAAAACTAAGGATCAGCAGCCTGAGCTTCATCTTGTTTGCCTCCACTAGGCCATGAGGGAGAATTTGTGGTGGCATTAAATAATCAACACTGCATTCCATGTGTGTTTATGCTTGTGTGTGTTGGGGAAGGGGAAGGGGGAGAGGCCAGGTGTCAAACCCCTTCTTCCTAAGTCCTCTAGTTTCCTTAAATACATGACTGTTTGATATTTCCCTTCAGATCCAAGTAATAAGTACTTCTACCAAGCTTCTTAGGCTACCAGTTTCCTTCCCTGTTACCCATACTCCTAGTTAACTCCCCTCTCCCTACTGCCTGTTTTTCTCAACCATCTTTCATTTCATTCCAATTCAGTCCTATACCACTTTACCTCCTCATCGTAAATGGGTCCACTTAATTCCCCGTACTTTAAGGAACACCTCTCCACACTACCTCCACCACTGCAGAATGCTTTCTATTTGCAACCCTTCCTCTCTGGCTTAGCTTCTCTTCTTAACAAAAGCCAGTGTCCCTTGAGAGGGCATTATATTCTCAGCTGTTCTCTTTTTTTGAAAATTACATCTTTCTCATGCTCCTTTCATAATAGATAGGAAAGGAAAGGGCATAGGCCTGTGCTTTGTTTTCTGGTGCTAATTCCATAAGATGAACACACCTCACTTGGGATGCCCTCAAATAGATGTACTGCCCTTTCCACATCCTGCACATCACATACTAACTACCCTGCAGTGAACTGAAGCAGTAGCTTCACTCCACAAAGCTCTACTCTTTTCAGTCCAAATTGGTGAACCTCTAGATAATAGAGGACATGTGAGAAGCACTTCTCAGACAGCAAGAAGTAAGAAATGAGACAACACTGTAATCAAGAAGAAACAATAAGCACAGAACCTAAACATTTACATTATCAAAGAAAGACTACACCAAGGCAAAGTTAAGCAGGCAAGAAAGATTTTATTTAAGGCTACTGCAAGAGGTAGGAGACTGAATTCAACTCTGCTGAAACAAGTGGCTGGAGAGTTTTTAAGAGCTGCAGTAGGGAGATCTTAGGCCACCTGTGGGTGGTAATTGCTCTTACCCAAAGGAAAAGTAAGTTTATATGCTGTATTTTACAATTTGGAGCAAGACACCCAGTAAAGTTGGGCTCCTACCCTCCCACAGAGACTAGGAAACAGGGGTGCTATCTTCCTTGAGGATTACACTTCAAAGGGATGGCTCTTGAGAAAACATTCCCTGGGTCTTAAAACTGGCAAGGGGCTTTTAGGGAGATTTCTGTACATTTCAAAGGGGCAGAGAAAGAATTTGTAATTGCAAGTTTCTAAAGTAATGAGTAATGCGCTGAGAAAAAAGAGATCAGGAGACAACAGTCAAGAAGAAACTTGCCCTAAGTGTAGTCAAGGGAAAGGGAAATGTTAAGGCTTTCCTGGTCACCATGGAGAACAAAGAAGTGCTTATTCTTGCCTCAGGATCTCAGCTCCCTCTCCAAGTTTGAAAATTCCTGTCTCAAGGAGCCTTTAAGAGTAAAAAGAAAAAGTGAAGGAAAGAAAAAAGGAAAAAAGCGAAAAGAGAGGAAAGGGTGCTTTTTACAAAGTTTTCTGAGAAATAATATAACATTTTCCCAGCACTGTTTACGCTGATGCTATAAACAAAACACAGTTCCAGCTTTTAAGCTCTAACAGGGCAGATAAGAACAAATAATGGTAATACAATGGGCAAACTTAATAACAAGCCTATACAAAGTACACTGGGATGACAGATAATAACAGAGTACAATGTACAAAGTACATTGGGATGACAGATAATAACAGCATTCACAACTATTAAGCACTTAGGTTCTAACAACGTTACATCTAAACCTCACAAAACCCTTGAAGTAATACTACTGCCTCCATTTTGAGAAGCAAAACTGAGGCTCAAGGAGGTTAAGTAATTTGCTCAAAATCACAGCGCATTTCAAATGGCATAGCCGCAATACTAACTGGGCACCACTTCCTGAGCCTGCACTCCTTAAGAGGTAATAGAATAACTATCCTGAAGAATGGGCAGGCTTTATGCTGAGGTGATACTAGATCTAAGCCTTAAAGAATAGTGAATTAAAAGGTAGAAAATGGGGCGGGGTGCGGCGTTGGCAGGGACTAGTAATTCCAGGCAAGAGGAACTGCGTGATTCGTCATAAAAATGTTGCGTTCAACATGGTTGGAGAAGGGCAAGTAAGGCCACGAATGCTGGAAAACCAGGCTGAGTGACCTAGAACTGTCTTCTCAAGGCCACGCACTTTCTGGTCCAAGGTCCGGCTCCCAGGAGCCACGGGCGCCAGACGGGAACCGACGCATGGTGGGGCTGTAGCGCTAGAGATACACCGCCCTGGCCCTGTATCCCTTGCAGCCTCTGCCTTGGTCCCTGGGGGCACAAGAAGAGCCCACAGGGACAGCGAAAACTGCTGTAAATGCATTAACTAGAAGCCATCCTGAAATGCGCGTCATCTCCCGCTACAAAGTCACTGGTCACCAGACCGCGCGACCAGACTCTAGGGTTACCACAGCCCGACCGAAGGGCCGAAAATGTGGGAAGAAAACCCAGGAATTCTACCGAGAGTCCCGACTCAGCCCGACCTCAGCTGTGGCCCGGCCCTGCGCTCCTCCCATCTAAGTCCGGCGCCATGTTAACCAGCCCGGTTTGGCGCCGCACCAATAAACTACCCAAGAGGCCTCGGGGCCCTGACCTGATTGCAGCTGGCAGAGGAGGTGGGCGTGGTCCGCGCTAAGAACCTGCGGCCAATCAGCCTTCCTCAGCCTCTCGGATCGCCTCTATGGCAACCAATGAGCGCCTTGTCCTTGGCTACCCCTCCCGGGCAAGAGAGCCCTAACCAGACCAGTCTGGGAGACACCAGCTATTCTGGGAGACTCTGCAGACATCCGCCCCAGCTGGTGATGCGGACCTCGGGCTTGGGATGTCCCCCCAGCCGAGTGCAGTTGTTGAAATGCCGCGCCCCTTTGGCTGTCGGTGGGGTGGGATGGGATGGGGGCGGAGCAGGGCTGGAGGCTGGACTGAGCGAAGATCTTTGCCCGTCACGTGCAGTCACCCTAGCTCCGAGCCTTGTACGCGGATCTGTATCCTAGTTCTTTCCAGGTGATAGCCCCCCTTTCAGCGAATTGCATAATGTTGGGCTCCTCTTCCCTCTTTAGACAACGGCAGTGTCCTCTGAGCTTCCTTGCCTCCCTTTCCAGTTACCGACTCCGGGAAGCCTTCCTTGATCCCTCGCCCCTTCTGGGTTCACTGGACTGTCTTTAACCCTTCATCACCTGTGCGTTTTCCTAACACTGTACTGTTACTTTTCTGTCTTCCCCACTAGTCTGTGGTTCGAGTCCTTAGCACATTGCCTGACTATAGGTGGTGCTATAGCGCTGTTTCCTCAATGAAATCTTAAGCAGAATCCTGTTGTATTAACCAAATAAAAGCAGAGCTGTTCTGATAGGAGTGGAGAGGGAGTGTCCAGAGTCCTGGACCTCCAAGGAAGCCCCTGAGGCACCATAATTAGTGACTTCAGCTGAAGTGATCAGTTTAATATATATGGCTTACCCAGGACATGAAAATTAAACATATCTAGAGCCTCTAGGAACACCCTTAAAAATCTCATTTTTGGGTTTCAAATCTGACTACACGTGTTTATTTTTATTTTCCAGTCTAACGATCTAGATAGCTGTTTCTTTCTTCTGTTTAATTCCTTATCTTCTTCACCCAGCTCTGGGCTTTGAGGCTAACCTGTATGGACCACATCAACAGATTCCCTTACTTCCCTGGCTTTCTATTGGGTTCAGCCAGTGAGTAGCATAGGCAGAATATCAGATGGAAGTAGGAGTGTAAGGTTGGGTATTTAATCCTCTGTTTCCCTGTGAGGGTTGTGGACTCACTTGAGTCCCCTTGCTAAGATCTCACTCCCGCCATGTGACCCCCTCTACATAGCTCTCTGTTTCTAAGTTTGAACCACCATCTCCCGTTACCTCTTCAGGCTCAGCCTCTCTAATACTAGATTCTGGGAACTGCCCACTGCCCTTGTGATTTCCCTACACCATGCCCACACCTTTGCAAATAAATCTTTATTAAACTTCCTCAAATTATTGTGATTTGAATGTGCCATCTGTTTCCTGGGTACGCCCTTATACAAGACCATTCTCTTTTACTGAGGTAATGGAAACAGTTATCTCACATGCAAACATTTGAAGGCTACATGATGTATTAGAAAGAGCATGCACTTTGAAGTTGGAGAAACCTGAGTCTCCTGTCATTCAATCATTCATTCATTTGGCAGATACTGCACAGTCCTATCAGTTGCGGTAGAGATTTTAGGGAGTATCTGCTATGCACACAGCCCATTCCCTAAGAACCCTTTTCTCCTCCCATAATGGTGAACCTGGCAATCAAGTTAGTAAGTGCCATGGGACACCACCCTCCACCATCAGCACAATCAGTGCAGCAAAGCTAGATGGATTAAGTCCTC